AAAAATTAAATATAATTATATTATTTTATTAAGATCTGCTCTTTTAGAACATTTTAATTTAAATATTCTAAAAAATAGATTTTCAATAATTTATTATTTAAAAAAATCATTTTATAATGAAATTTAAAATTAATAATTTAAATAAATAAAATAAATTTAAATTTTTAACTATTATAAAATATTTTAATTATTAAATGTATAATTTTTATAGTTTAAAATATTAATTTATTAATAATACTATTTCAAGTTAACTTGAATTGAGTTGAGTTGAGTTTGAGTTAAGTTTAAATCAAGTTGAGTTAAATATTTAACTCAACTCAAATTTGATTTAACCTGTAAATTATTAAGTCAAAAAATATAAACTTGACTTGATTTAAACTTAACTTAGCTTATCTGATTTGTGAGTTAACTTGACTCATCTAGAATTTTATTTTTGTATAATATAATCTGATATTTTTTTATAATAATTAGTTAAATGACTTTTTATTTTTACACATTCTCTTCTATACAAAGAAAACTCACAAAATTTACAAATAGCATGAATATGATCATCTTATATATTTTTAGAATGTTCATAATATTCTTAATGTTTTTCTTGAGAACGACTTCCTTTTCATATACTTTTCATGATTATTTATAATTAAAAAAGAAAAATAAAAATTATTATTAAAAAACAAAAAGAAAGATTATCATTAAATTTTAAAAAATTATTAGATTACCAAATAAATTTTTATTTATTATACTTGATTTAGTAAATTAAAATTTTTTAATTTAATATCTTAATTAATTTTAATTAAAATTTGATCAATTTATTATTATCAGAGAAGTTTCAATGCTATATAATAAATGAATAATATAAGTTTCAGATAAATTTTAGTTATAAATCACTGAAGCTTATATAATTAAATAGTAAATATAACTCTAAAATTAGATTTAGAGTTTCAGAAAAATTAATATATTTTAGAGAAAATTTCAGTTTTTGAAAATAATTTCAGTTTCAAATTACAGAATTTCAGATTTTAAAGATTTTTAAAATAATTATCAGCTGGTAATATTAATAGTTAGTATTATCATAAATAATGAAGATTTGATTAAAATATTTCAAAAAAGTAAAATAACAAATTGTAGAAATAAATGAGAAAATTTTAATTAATTGAGAATATGAACTAATATAATAATATTAACTCTATTATACATCTTTGATATATTCTAAAAGAGAATTCAAAGTTATTTATTCTTATAAGAAAGATGATTATATTTAATATTATTAAGAATATGTATTAGTTTGAAAATAGAATGAAAAGGTAAACTGACAAAGTTATTTTTATAAAAATTATTATTCTATATTATATAAATAATATAAATAAACTTTTAATATTAATTTACTTTTTATTATTAAAAATTAAAAAATTTATTAAATTTTTAATTAAATTAAATTAAATTACATAATATAAATAAATTAAATTAAAAATATATATTTATTATTCATTAGAATTTTTTTTCTTTTTTTTAAATAATTTATATAAATTGTAAAATATTATCTATTTTTTTTTAGAATAATTTGTTAAAATTTGTTACCTATTATTATTAACTATTTTAGTATATACATTAAAATCTATTAATGATAAAGTTTTAATATTTTCTCTTGAAGTTTTAAATCTTTTTAAAAAGAGTTCAATTTTAAGTTTTAAATTATTAATAAATTATTATCAAATTCAGCAAGAAGATAACAAAATCCAACAGCTATTTTCTTTTTATTTTCTAATTTTTTAGAATTCAATATATTAATAAATTATTTGTAAATATAATTCTTAATTTTTAATCAAAACACAAAATCTATTTAAATCTAATTTTAAAGAAAGATTTTGTGTTTTTTATATATTATAAAAAATATTATTTAAAAGTTTTAATTGTTTTTCAAAAATAATCTAATAAATATTAATAAATTAATATATAAAAATTTGAAATAATACTATTGTAATAAAAGAAATTCTAATAAAATAAATTAATATTATAATTACTTTAATTTCAAAAATTTTGAAAGTTCTAACTAAATTATAATAATTTTTTGAAAGCTATATTATATTCTATAATTGAAGTATAACTATTTTGAGAAAATTTTAAATAAAATAATTATAAAAATATTTAATAAAAAGTAAATTTATTTGCTAATATTTTTTTTATGAAAGAAATATAAAAAATATACTAATAAAACTTTTATAAACAGTATAGAAAATTAACTAATATATAGCATGTATAATTTACATATAAATAAGTATTACTTAAAAATATATTACTATTAGAAGAAAGTTAGATATTTTAGAAAATCTGCTTCTGAAATTTTTAACTTTCAAAGAAATATAAAAATAGCAATTATTATTTTTAAATTACTAAAATACTTTCTTTAATACTCTGCCTCTAGTACCTTTGCTAGCTTAATAAAATCAAATTTCTTTACTTTTTATTTTTCTTTACTATGTATATACTGTATATAATATATATCATATTATAATTCATATATAAAATATAAGAAAAATATGATTTTTTTCTTAATTTTATTTTTTATTAGAAAATCTAGAAAAAATATAAAAAAATAAAAAAAAACTCTTTTTTATATAACAAATTCTACTTCTGAAATGAATAATAATTAGTAAAAATAAATATATTTATATTCAAAATAAATAGAAAGATTAATAATATCAGGATAATAAAATAAACTCAAAAAAAATTAAAAGCTATCAATACAAATAATATAAGAATGCTTCTAAATAAGACTAAAAAATTATTAATCATAAATATTACAAAAATATATACAAATAAGGTAAATGTAAATAACTTTTTAATAATAATAAAATAGGTATAACTTTTTATATTCTTTGAATACTAATTGAATGCAAAGTTATCAAATTTTTAAGATTTTGAATTTTTTAATGAAAATGCCTCTGATTTTAAAACGCGTTCGTCAGTTGAAAAGAATACATGAAATTCAAGCCTAAAATTTAAAAAAAAAGAAAAATAATGATGAGATAAACCAAGTTAATAGGTAGTGAAATAAATTAATAGCTGTAGTTCAACAATTGTCTGATAAAGAGGATTCAGTAGCTAATCACCTTATTGCTACTATGCGTTATCCAGAAGGTAATTTAAATGCAAGAAAAATTCTATCACCATATCTTTAAGACAAAGTATATGATACTATTGCTAATAATTTTTATAAGCATTACCAAGAAAATGAATCTTTAAAAAATGAAATTAATCGACTAGAATTAGAAAATAAAAGGCTTCATAATTAAACAAATAAGTTGATTGGAAAGACAAAATCACTTAAAGCTTAAGTAGAACATTTGTATAATTAAAAATTATAGTATATCTCAGAAATTCGCTCTCTAGTTCAAAAATCTTCAAAAATATCAGATGTTGTATTTAAAGATAAGATTCAATCTCTCTTTATGATCAATAAATGATAATATACTTCTAATGCAATTTGGCTTGCATCTAGTATTGCACAAACTGGAGAAATATTAATGCGTTTCATAGTTGAATGCACAAAGTTAATTTATGAATTTTTAACTGGAGAACCTCCACAAAATTGGCTATTAACTTCAACATTACACACATGACATAAAGATCTTTTTCAGTTATATATCAATAATCAAATTTCTCAAATTGCAAATGCACTAGTATTTGGAATCATGGTTGATGAATTTACTTGTGGTGAGATTAAAAATTTTGTTCTTTGCTATCAAGTGTGAAGTGAAAAAGAACAAACTCTAATTATTACTATATTAAGTCTTAAAAATATTTCAAGATGCAATAGTGAGACAGTTTCTAATCTAGTTATTTAATCAATTCAAAAGGATGGTCTTGATATTGCTAAATACATCTTATGGGTTACTGATAATACAGTCTATATGTCAAGTAATAAAAATGGTACTGTTTCTTATTTTAATAAAAAAACTGGTACAAGTGACTTTCAAATTAGTTGCATTATGCAAATTATTCTTAATCATTTTGAATAAGAAGCATTTGGTAAAATTACTACTGATTTTTCACAAAAATTGTATCTATATAATCTTTTATATCTATCTTAGCATTTACATGATGATTACAATTCTAACGACAAAGACAAACCTCTAAATATTAATGTATCAATAATTAAGGATTTATATGATAGATTAATGGAATTTCATTATAACCAGTATCAGCTTTCACTTCATTCTCGATAGGGCTATAAATTAAAAACAGCTAAATAATACTTAAATTGACGTAAAACTCACATTTCATTTGCTCATTGATTTATAATTCAATTGGAAAATTATCATAATATACCAAAGGCATATTTAAATGATTGGCGTCTTTTTGAATAATAGTTATCTAATCCACTAATTAACATTCAAATAAAATGCTTAGTAAATTTCGCTGAGTATTTTTATGAATCATTGATACAATTTACAATGGGTAAGAATCCTAATTTACAAATTATACAAAATGAAAAGTTGGTTCAATTACCTCCTGAAAGATGAGCACATGAAATGCCAGAGAAAGTTTTTGAATGGAAAGCTTTTCTTGAGTATCTTAAAAATAATGTAGATATGTTTTCACTGATGAATTATTAGAAGCTATTGAAATATTACCAAATGACAAATTTTAATAATTTGGAAAGTGGAATGAATAAAGCCTATTAATATTTTGAAAAATGGTTTAATTCATGGCTTCATTTACCTTTAGTAATTTGCCATCTAGGTGGAGACTTTGCACATTCATTCGCTAATAGTTTTCATTTTATAATTTTAAAAAGAGACTGGAATAAAACGCCTATAGATAGGGAATTAAGGTTTACAAAAGACCTAAAAAATGATATTAATTGTGGAATTAATGATACTTTCGGTTTAAAAGAAATGGTATTAGATAATAAAGAATTTGATGATGAATTTGAAGAATTTTGTAAGGCTGATAATCCTATACTATACTATATAAATTTCCTCATCTCTACAATTTCGTTACAATACATATTTATTTTATTATTATCCATCAGCAACAGGTCGAAGGACTTTTCAATAAATTAGATTTAAAAACTCATGCGAATATGTCATTATTTCTTAAACAATCAAAACTTCGATTAGCCTCGGGTAAGATTGAAAAAGAGGATTTATCTGCAGGTCTTAAAGAAATTCGTGTTCAAAGAAGAGAAAAAGAAAAACAAATTCCGCTTCAAGATAAGCAATCACTATCATTTGGAGAAGAAATTGCATTACATCTTTTTAATTGTTTATTAGGTAATAAATAAATAATGTATATGTATATACGTTATAAGTTAAAATTTTAAACATTCGGAAAATATAATGAGATCGACATTTATCGTTATGTATACATGAAAAAAAAATTCAATAGTAAATTTTATAGGGGTCCATATATAGTTTTGATTTAATTAGTTGACCGCTCACCCCAATGGCTCATGGTACTGCGAAAATGGGAATCAGTTCCCTTATGATCCTGAATTAGCAAAGTTGCTATCCCAAGATAAGTTGGAATATTGTCTTACCTGCAACACTTCAAGCAATAAACTTAAGTTCGCAATTGTAACATAGTCTGATTATATGGACCGATATCTGAAATGTGCAGTATGATATCGGGAAAATTACATTTTTTCTCGTGTAAGTGGCTTATGCAAAAAATCTATTGCAGTCATTAAACATAGTGAAGTAATTTATTTATTACATCAATAAAGAATTCAGCTAACATTGTATCAAGAATATTTTCGTGGGATAAGTGATGTATATGGTGAATAAAAGAAAGAAGTTCCACTTGGATTAAATATGTAAATAGTATACTGTACCACGTAATGTTAGAGTCAAGTGATTTCAAAAATGACGTATATATTGTATAAATTAGACTTTTCTTATACTCACTTCCTTAGATTATACTTTTCTCTTACTCTCTCTTCCTTAGAAGTTAAATCATTGATACTTAAATATGGTGAACGGAAATCACGGAAATAATGAGAATAATGAGAACAACGAGAACAACGAGAACACTTACGAAGATAAGATTGTTTTGCATGTAAATAGTTTTCCAGTTTATTCAAGTTTATTAATGACTAACACTTCCGTTTCAGGAAATGGTAACAATATACCCTATCATCTAAAAAGAACTTATGAGAGTCTAACTAGAAGGCAGAGAGAAATTTATGATGATTTTCCCTCTCGTAATGCAAAAATTCTTTATTTAGAAGGGCTTATCAAGGAGAGGAAAAAATCAGTATGTATATATAGAATACTCATATATGTTGTCAAAGATGTCAATACTTCACTATAATTTGTAATAACATTAGTTTTTTCGTCAGATTTTCTTTCCCACGAAATCCCATAGGAAATTGGATCTGAAGTAATGAGTTGTATAATATACACATTTATTACTTGTCTTATCATTTCGATATATGGATTTTATTTCAAGAGCGAAAAAGAATCTACAAAGTATTTTATTGTATTGTTGAGTAGTATCTACTACTTGGCTAAAATTCTTATACTGGGAATAACTATGGAAAGACTAGGAATACTTTATAATAATAAAGTTCGTTTATATACTGCCATTCTAAATATTTTGTGTACATCTTTGGTGATATTCTTAGGCATATTTATCATTTCTCCAACTATATTTATTTTACTTGTGAATGTTGGAATCGATATTGCCAAACTTATTGTTAAATTCTATGGTTGAACCTCTATTGTATTCTTGCTGAAATAGGGACAAATAGGAAAAAAATGCAATGTATTGACTGCTTTGTAATATGATTGATTGCTTTAATTAGCTTGATACAGTATGATGCGGACCGCACTTATTAAGAATTTTATTTCTAATATGCACGCTTAAAAAATCAAAATATCATTTCAAAAATTTATCTGGGTAGTAATAATCTATAGTACATTATTTGATCATCTCAGATTAAATCTGAAAGCAATATCAATAACTTTTTTTTTCAGGACCGCGCAGTCATGCAAATTTCTTGGCATTTTTTTTAGACCTGAGGAGAGATATACTAATACCATATTTGTGTTTCAGAAAGCCGAGAAACTTATTTGTATCCATGCCAGACGAATATGAGAAAATGGAAGTGGAATGATGATGATGATTTCGATTACCTCTATGGTATTGTCACTACAGCTCAGGACTGGCATTTCCTGCTCTTCATATGAGAATAATCGCAGGATGATCGCAGGGATAAACACAGGATTACGGGGTAAAGATTTATACCGAGTAAGCTTGAAAGGTGCTGGGAAACAAGTCGGGTTAAAGTGGATTTGAGAATAGTTCAAGAACTTCTAGTGATTGTAACAGGATGTTCACATGTATAGTTGAAAAAATCACTATTAAATACATAGTAAATTTTGATCATCAGCAAATGAATGGATAATGTAAAGTTGTATTCAGGTTAATGTATAGGCAAGTACTTATAAAAACATTCCATATCCCGCTATTTAAAAAATAATTTTTCTAGTGTGAATAGCCTTTCGATTATTTAGAAAATGATCGACTAGACCGATGCACAAACCCGTATCCTTATTAATAAGCGTAAAAATAGGAATGAAGAATATCATAACTTGGGAAGGAATAAAGATGTATTTTGGGAAAGTATTGTGACTAGAATTAATGAAGAGCTTGGTTCTAATTTCTTGGGACACCATTGTAAGGAAAAATTCAGGAACCTTGTTCGGGATTATAATGTAAGTGTAAGTGTTAATAGTTCGCTTAAGCGTAGGCGATTCCTAAATCTCACTTTCCACATTACCTCCGATGACTAGGCGATGTGTGAATATATGAATGGAAGCTGAACAGTTCGAAGGAGTTGAATAGGAGCTAGATATTTTGATGAGTTTTGCACTCATTTTTGGGAAAAACCTGAAGATGCTTTTGATAGAATTTGTAACATGAGTATCTCCAATTGTAGACGAGGCAGAGGAATTGTTTCACCTGCACCTTCTATTGAAGTAGTTGAACAGGTATTAGGCCAAAGAACATCTAGCCGGAGAAGTCAGAGCCAAAGCAATCAAAGAAGTCATACACGTTCAGAATCACCATCTCATAATGAAGATAGTAATACAGGAAATCCAGCCAGAGGAGGGGATAACACGTCAACTTTATCTGTTCAATCGCCATCTTATGAAGCTTCTACTGGCAATCAATAATCATCTAATATTGCGAATGATGGAGTTACTGGTAATAATGTAGGACAATGAAAATGTGGAACTACATTAACAGATTGAAGAATTTGATATAATGAAGATAATAAATGAGGTTTACTATAAAGACTAGAAAGCATTGTTGATAACCAAAGTTTTATTTTTTTTGAACTAAAAAAATAATTATAGAAGTTAAAAATATACTAGTTTTTTTTAATTTTAATTTGATTAAGTGTTTTTACTAATTTTTTTTTTTCTATTTGTTTTCTATTTGCTTTTTCTCTTTTATATTCTAATATTTTACTTATTAATTCTTCAAATAAAAAATATAAGGGTTAGGAAGTATTAATTGATATTCATCTAAAGAATTAAGTGATTCTAATAATTATTTTTTATTATTAGATTTTATATGAAAATTTTTGTTAAATTAATTCCTATTTGTGAATATTCTTTAGGTAAAATTATTTTAGAATCATTAGAATCATTTATTTTAACATTATTTAATTTAAATATTATTTTTATAATAAATGAACTTGGTATTAATTTAGGAGTTATTTAAGATGATGTTTAAATTGATATAATAGTATCTGTTTGATCATAATAGAATTAAAAATTTGTAAAGCTGATATAATGGAATTTAAAATTTTTAATTATAATTGTGTATCATTTCCTTGAGTAATTAATGTAATCCATTTACTTATAAGTTTTAATGAAATAATTGGATCTTGTTCATATTTTCTTTTATTATAATAACTAATTACTTTTTTACCTTGTCCAGGTTTTTTATATAAATGCTCACCTTCTTTTTCATAACATTTACAACCAATATATTATGCTTTATAATTTGATTATGCTTGATTTATAATAGAATTAATTTCTTCTATTATTTTACAATTTTTTTGACTTATACAAAGAACTTGTATATGTTTTTCTGCTAATTTTCAAAAATGATTTACACAAAATTTACCACGACTAAAAAAGTAATAATTATTTTCACAATATAAACAACGTCTAAGATGTATTAAACTTTCTGAATTATCTTTTAATTGTTTAATACCTTTTGAATGTAATTGATTTTGATTAAGCATAAAATAACTATAATAAACTCCTAATTTATCTAAATTTTTTCCTACTTCTTCAATTATTGATTTATCTAATTGCCATATTCTAATTAATTGCTATAATTCATGTAAATTTTCTTTTTCTTCACAACATTTTATTTCTTCATCAATAATATCTATTACTGCACAAGCAGATAAAGCAGATTTTTTATTTCTGTTGTTTGTAATATATTTATATTTTGTTCTATTTTTATACTTTCTATACTTTCTATATTAATAGATAAAGTTGCTAAATCATTTTCTAATTCTTCACTATTATTACTATTTTCACTACTATTTGTTAAATCTTGTAATAATAAATGAGCAGCTTCAAATAAATTAGGATCTTTTTAAAAAGTAAAATCTTCTTCATATTCAGGTATATTATCAAAAAAAGTATCAATATTTTGAGAAATAAATTGAATATTAGCAATATTTTCTGTTATTTTAAAATTTAAAAAAAAAGTAATTTTTTTATTAAAATCTTATTATTGTTGGTAAAAAAAAAATTTATATATTTAAAGTAATACCAGATTATCTAAATAAAGTTTCTTTTAATTTACATTATTATAAATTGTTTTAATAAAAAAAATAATTTTTAGAAATTCATTTTAATATCTAAAAAATGACCCAAAAACTAAAAATAGATAACTTTTATTTAAAAACTATAATTATAATACAAAAAATTTGATATATTAAAAGTTCTATCCATTAATAAAAAATTTAAATAAATTATTATTTTTAATTAATATTCTATTATAATAATATATGAAATAACTATAATATAAATTTTTTATTTTAGTATTATATTTTTTTAAATAATAAAAGAAAAGCTTTTTAAAATCAAAAAAAAATACCTAATAAAATTACAAACCTTAAGCCAGTTCAACATATTTTTCATATTAAAATTATTTATAATACTTTTACATATTAAAATTAGCATATAATAGACAATATGTTTGAAAAGATCTTTTTAAAATTATCAAACTGTTTAACTTTTAAAACTTATAAAAATGTTTTTTAGAAGTGAATGAATGATTTTGTGAGATAGAAATTCAAAAACGTTAGTAATATCGCACAGTTGTACTATACACAAAGTCAAAAAAGTGGCGAAAAAATATATAAAATTATATTGATCAACTGATTGATATCTATATAAATATCATTTGCTATAATTGACATACGACATATCTAGTATATAATATGTTTAAAAAACTACTCAGCTTTTGTAAATATAGGCTTAATATACCATAATTCAACTAATTGAATGCGATGTGATGAGGAGTTGATTGGAACCTTTTGAAATTTATTGCTGATCATTACCAAAATTATAAAAGCACATAATTATTTAAAAGTAATGTGAAAATTTTAAAAAATGTCACGTTTATCAAATTATGGTTCTTGTGCAATATACATAATTGTGATAAAAATATTAATAAAGAAACATTTAATATATTTAATCATTTAAAAGTAAGTGACTAACTTTGTCAAATGCCTTACAACAAATATTGTTGAACTAGATTGAAATAAATAGCCTTTAAATAACTTGACAGTTTATGATATCAATATAAACACTGAAGTAGATAATACATCTTTAACTCATATTATTATAGATTTAAAGCTAAAGATGTCTTTATATAATCAGAGATAATAATATTAGATTAAAACAATTTTTTGGAACAGATAATAAAGATATAATAGATGCTATATTTTTAGATTATAAAGAGTACTTCTTATATGAATTTATTAGTAAATATGATTCACTTCATCTTAATATTAACTTTGATTTACTACGTTCTTAACCCATATTATTATAGATTCAAAGCTAAAGATATCTTTATATGATTAGAGATAATAATATTAGATTAAAACAATTCTTTGAAACAGATAATGAGGATAGAATAGATGCTATATTTTTAGATTATAAAGAGCATTTCTTATATGGATTTATTAGTAAATATGATTCACTTTGTCCTAATATTGACTTTGATTTACTATGAGAGGTATATGATAAAATGAACCTAAGCTTACAGATAAAAAGATAAAAGATTTACTTAATTATATTTTATAAGACATATTTTCAAAGTGAGATCATAAACTATAATCATCACTATTAGTAGTAATGCGAAAAAAATGTCTTATATATCTTGATATAGTATTAATATTTAGGCCCCCTCACAGCAAAAGAGAGGGATGAGCCGACTAACCCAATTTTGAGATTTCATAATTATCACATGACTATTAACCTAACCTTTTGGAGAATATCTTTTTCTGACCATAATATATTAGTAGAAAAGGCGTAATTTTGAAAATTTTTGTTGCCTTTTCATTGTAAAAGAATCCTTATATTTTCTTTCATAATACTAGTAAATAGTATGGAATATGGCATCCATTTTAGTAATGATAGTGCTAATGAAACTATTTTATCTGCTTTAGAAGA